CATCCTTCAGAGATGGCAACTTTCATCTGAAACATAGAATCTGTAACTTAAATACATTATCCCACATCCTGCTCTCTGGAGAGATGAAGAATGAGAGGACTGTGTGATTTCTCTTCCTGTCCCAAAGAATAATATCACATCCTCTTTCAGTTTTGTCTTCTTGAGGCTGAATGTTGGCCACTGAATTTCAGTGGTAAAACTTTGGGGGGCTCCAGAACCACCAGAAGGATGCTTAAGGATTGTATGCAATCTGCAGACCACCCAGAGAATAACAGATAAAGGAGTCTATACCAAATAAACCTGTCATCAATTCTAAAGCTGACACTTTTTTCCATGGCAATTTTTCTTTTCATTTTCTTAAACATGTTACAGCTGGTGGGTAGATTGCTAGACTTGTATATAGTTACAATGCTCCTCTGATTACTTCTATTGGTGGTAGAAATTATTCTTTTCCACTACCAAATTGGGATTATCCTTGAATGATATACATGGCTCTCACAAAAGCACTCCTCCCCATAACACTATTCTCCAAAAGTCAAATTACCAAATTGCAACACCGTAGTTCTTCTTTCTGTAGTTCTCATTCCACTGAAAACCAAGGGAGGGTGAAAGTGCCACATTCTGACTGATTTCTTATTTATTTACAGAGCTGATAGCTGCTCCAAACAACCAAATCTGAGCCATGTATCGTTTGATGTTTGACAAACAGACGTTGACATAGATATACTGTAAATGCATAGCTTGTATGGTTGACATTTGAAGAGCCATAAAGTTTTCCAACCTAGCCAGACTTTGCCTAGAGATTCTTGGTCTTTCAATTAAGCAATGGTCTTCTGAATTCATATGGTGAATTACCCAGCAGTTGATGTTATTGTTCTACTGAAACTTCAAACTGCCCTTGTGGAAATTTGGCAGGAATCATCCGTCTGTGTGTCTTTTGCAATTAAAAGCAAGAGACGCAAAACCTTCAGCCATTGTCCCTGAGCACAGATGTGAACCAGACATGGCCCTGAATGAGTGGAATGGAACATGAATTAGGCTTCATCATAAAGAGAAATGTGTCATTCCAAAGTTTCTGTCTGGAACATTGAGTTCATGCTGGTTAAGGCACATCTTGGCACTTTTGGTATGAAAGTGGTTTTTATTCTGAAGTGGGATTGAATACAAAAATAAAAATCTACTGTACATTATACATTAACAAACTACAGTAAGGAAACTATATACTTCCACACTTCTCCCAACCACCCAGACATCTTTTCTCAAAATCCAGACCAAGTTATATAGTTACAAATCAATGGTTTATCTCCACTACACAAGTATAAGAATGCTTTTCTTAACTGAGCTGTCTGGTTTAACCAAAGACCCACTTTTTCCAAGTGCATAGTCACATGGAAACATTACAGTGAGATGCATAATAAAAAAGTGAAAGTCATTTTGAAACATCCAGCAATAACAGCATGAAAAATATTCTCTAAATCAAGGATAGGACATCCAGGGTTTTTGCTTCCACTTCCATTATCTACCCTGAAGGAATGAGCATCCAAAAATTCAGGAGCAAATTACCAAACTAAATGACACAGTTTCTCATGAGAAATCAGATAAATTAAATATACCATATAATAAACTGCTTTGTGGGGTAGGGCTCTACCCTTCTCCATCCATCCATCCATCCATCCATCCAATTTATTAGCCGCCCATCTCACTTTTCCAAGTGACTCTGGGCAGTGTATAACAGTGTTAAACACAATAAATAAATAAATTAAAAAGTATAAAAATATAAAAAACCAAACTAAAATTAATAAGCAAACAGATGTTAAAAATAACGGAAGCACCTCACTAGATCACCCATCCTGTGGGGGCCCCAGGCCTGGTGGCACAACCAGGTCTTGAGGGACCTCCGGAAGCCCAACAGTGATGAGGCCAACCTCACCTCTGGGGGAAGAAGGTTCCACAGCATGGATGCCACAGGTAACATCTACATGAGGCCAGTGGGCAAGGTCATCCGCCAGCATGGGATGTGGTATCAGTATGCTGATAATACCCTGTGGTACATCTCCTCCCTGAGCCAACCAGGTAATGCCACCAAGGTTCTTTTCCAGCACCTGGAAGCTGTGGGAGCTTGCATAGGAGGCTTCAGCTCAACCCTGGGAAGACCAGATAGCTGTGGGTTTTAAGGTCTCCTGGAACTGGAGATTTTCCATTTTTAACTCTGCCTGGGGGTACACTTCCCCAGTCAGAGCTGGTGCACAATTTGAGGGTCCTCCTGGACTCATAGCTCCTGGTTGAAGAGAAGGTGGCAGCCATGGCTACACTGATTTTTCAATGGGTTCATCAATTTCATCCATTCCTGGACTGGGAGGCCTTGCTCATGGTGACTCAAGCCTTAGTCATCTCCCATTTGGATTACTGTAATGTGCTCTACATGAGGCAGCCCTTGAGGACCACTCAGAAGCTGCAGCTGGTCCAGAATGCAGCAGCATGGGCAGTTTTTCAAATTCCTCATTATGTCCATGTAATACACTACTCTGTGGGCTGCGCTGGCTCCCAGTAAGCTTCCAAGTGCAAATCAAGGTGCTGGTCATCACCATATCATAGGAATAGGGTACTTGTAGGACCACCATACTCTCATTGTTTCTGCTTGGCCCCCAATCTAGTAAAGGGGGAAGGCTCTGGGTCCCTTCTACCAAACGATCCCAACTTGTTAGACCCCAGAGTTGTACCTTCTCATTGGCAGCACCTGTCCTGTGTAACAGCATCCCTCAACCCTGTTAGCCTTTCACAAGGCATTGAACACCTGGCTTTTTCCCCAGGCATTTGGGTCAAGTGGGTAGATGAGCTCTGTTGTTATTGATGTGACTTTTCGGTGAGCAGGATTGTTGATCTTTGGGCACCAGGGGCTATATGTGGCGGGTTTCCTGTGTGAAATCATGATGTTCAATGAATCATGATGTTCAGAAAATGCATCTTTTCCCACTGGATTTCCATTTTTTCTATTCAAGATGCAGAAATGCTTGAAAAACACTAACTGTGCAAAGAGCACTTAACCTATATCACAATCCCAGATTCATCTACTCATTGAGATCAAGACAGTTTACTCTCAGCATGCTATCTGCATACACTAAATTTTGTGCACATTGACACAAAAGATTATCTTTTGGGATCCAGGAAAGAATTGCAAATGCTTAGAAGTCTTTCCCCTAACATTTTCCAGTGTGATTGTATCCCAGCGGAATGCAAGTTTTTCAACTGTTTTGCCTAGAAAGTAGGATCCACAAGCTAACATTCCCTCCAGTCCTATGGGACATGAGAGGGACCTCCTCTCACTGGCCTTGTTCAGATTGAGAAATATGGGGACACCAGCAAGGGGCATCCTCTGCCATCAAGTAAACTCAGTGCAGCTACCAGAAGAAATCAGAAAGAAATTCTCAAGCAACCTGAGAATAAGGTTGAAAAAAAGAAGACATTTCAACCCAACATTAAAGCTGTATTTCACAAGGCCAATTGCTCATCACATCTTTCAGTGATTTTGTGCATCTCTCTATTACCATTGTCTATACTGCTCTCTCTTTCTTGTCTTATCCTCTGCTGGCATTTAGATAGCAAACTCTTTGTAGGCAGAGACCTATTCTCATGGTATATGGTAATCTGTAAAGCATCCTGTATAGCAGGAATTGGCAGCTACAAGCTCAGAGGTCCATGTAGTCCTGAATCTCTTTGCTGCAGCCTCTGGAGGCCTTTTTCACCATTGCTCTATCAGTTCTTTAAAAAATGTCCCTCCTAAATTCAGAGGACCACCTCCAGAAAATCCTGCCCCCACAACATGTATAGTACATCACCCTACCATTGCCCATCCTTGATGTATCTAGTTATTATAGATTGCTTTTAACAGCTGAATTTTATAGTATAATAATTTCTCCAAAGGCTGCCTTTTATGTGGAACAAAGATTAAAAAAGAGCCTCTGTTCTTCCAGTGTCCCTAGAGAGCCATTCAGAAGACTGCTGGGGTGTTTTGGACTATGTCTGGGGAAATGAGATTTGTATGTTTAGACTTCAGGAGGGTGTGTTGAAAGCAACAGTCCAATATATTGTATAGGCATGATGTTAGGAAAGACTTCTTAGAAATGGAGAGACTTCACAAACCATAAGGAGGAAAAGGAAGAGGGGGACAGTTTGGTGTAGTGGCAAAGGTGCTGGGCCAGAAACCAGGAGGCAATGAGTTCTAGTCCTTCCTTAGGCATGAAAGTCAGCTGGGTGACTTTGGGCCAGTCAAACTTCCTTTTCTTTATATTTGATCAATTCAAGGTGATGCTTCCACCTCACAGGATTGTCGTTATGGGGAAAATAGGAGATGGGAGCATTACCTTGAACTGATCAAATATAAAGGCAGGATAAAAAATCAAATAAATAAACAAATAAGAATATTTACCTTTCCGAGCTATTCGGATACAATTCAACCTTGTTTCCTACAAAAGAAGAAAAAGATAAGCATGTTTTTATCAGACCCATGATCTGTTCTGCTTGCTATGCTCCCTAAGAAGAAAGAGGAAGATTCAAATCAAATCTTTATTACAGTCACAGACCAGCTACGCGGAAGATAATAATACTCAGAGGACTGTTTCCTCTTTTTTTTTTTTTTTTTTTTAAGGAGGGGGATGAACATGTTGGATATTGTACAATTCTCCAGTGTGGCTGCAAACCACTGAATAGGGGTATTCCATGAACTATTTGTTTCTTTTGTAACTACAGTCAGTAGATGAACCTCATACCCGATCACTGATGTTGCCTATCCCTTTGCAAATATTTTTTTCCCCTTTAGACCAAGTGAAATTACTGGGGGGGGGGGGGGGGGGGGGGGGG